ACACTGTGTGCTGGGAATGTCATGTTCCAAGACAAGCAGTCACTGTGTCAGCCCTGAAAGTGTACGGGAAGCCTGGAGACAGAGACACAGATATAAGTGGTCTTGTAAGTCATGTACGGCCATCACAGAGCAGCCACAGCGTGGACAAGCTCGCTGAGAAGGTGCCATCTGTCTTCAGCCTCAGTGGTACCTTGGTGTTAGATCAAATGGTCTGCTCAAAGGACCTATAAGCAGCAATGAAACAGAGCTGCACCGGATAAAGGCATCTGGAACCCTGTGGGGAAATGGAAGCAGCAGTTGAGTGGGGAAGGATGGTCAGAGTGTAAGATGCGAAGGCCTTAAATGCCAAGCAAGGAACCTGGATGTTAGTAGTGGGTGATGAGGCAGGCTAACTGCACAGCTGGAAGGAAGTTCCAGAAGAAAATGTGAGCAGAACTGGGAGACCCATGGGCAATATGATTTAGTAATGCTACTGAGCCATCTAGACAAGTCAAAGGAGGACAGAAAGGAGACAGTTCCAGAGGTAACGTCGTCATTGTGGAGGTGAGAGTGAAGTCTGGAGCCCAGGAAGGTTCCTTGGCTTTGTCGGGTGATGACAAAGGGGGATCCATTAAAGAAGATCAGATGGAAGAGAAAGGTCAGATAAGTGGGGGCACAATAAGCACCTTAGAGGTAGCTCTATGAGAATGAGGCCAGCTTTCAAATCAGAAGGGAAGCATTCAAAATCTGGAGCCCAGAGCAGGAATTAGGTTCAGATTTGAAAGGCGTGTTGTCTCAGTTACTGTCATTGCTGGGACAAATAATCACCCAAAAAGAAGGAAGGAAAAAGTTTAGTTAGCTCACAGTTACTGGAGGTTTCAGTCCATACTCAGCTGGCTCCAAGGCAGTGCAGCACAAGGCAGGGAGCAACCTTTCATGGTATCTGCAAAGAGCAAGAGAACAAAAGGGCGGAGTAGCAGCAGCTTAAGCAGCTAGCTTCTCTTCCCTCCTTACATTGTAATGCAGATTACCCGCCCCAGGGCAGGTTCAGCATCCACACCCACAATAATCAATCATGAACTCCAGAAGCCACTCCAATACTACCTGAGCCTACAGGGGGACACCTATACACAAACCATAACACATGCACAGAGATAAATGTTCCTAACAAGCTCAGCTCTGTCTGATTTTCAAATACTCTAGCAGGTAATAAATGCAAAAAAAATGCCAAACTTATTAATTATCACCTAATGAATACTTAGCATTATGCCAGGCAGCCTTCTAAGCACTTTCACATTATTGTTAGCTCAGTTTCTGTGCTAGGGAACCAGAACTTTCTATGCTAACGACCTGGGGCTGGGGACACAGCTCAGCAGCACAAGTGTATGCCTGCCAGCATAAGGTCCTGAGTTCAGTCCCCCAGTACAAAACATAAAAATAAAAAAAAGAAAAAAATAAAAGGTTCTCTGTGAAGGAACTAACTCAGTCACAGACTAAAAGGAGACAATGCTTGAGTTAGGTAACAGACCGATTTGACTTCAGGTTCTCTGTTCAAACTAAATTGCATCCCTATAGTGCTCGCAAGGGATGTGGAGTGAGTTAAAAAAGATACTTAGGTTCAATGACATGGATCATTGCTGATTTTTTAGCTGCACCAGCGGTAGGCTTGCTGAGAGAGGCCCCCAGGGAACATGTCCCTTGTGCCCACCAGGCCCTTCCTGCATGCACTGCCATTCCACAGGCGCAGGACATCAGTCAGTGCTTCACTGGATAGCTTCACTTATTCCTTCTGATATCATGACGGTGATGTCCCTGCAGTGAAATGTGAGGAGGAAGCCCATCCAAGGTGACACCGGCAGAACCAGCAAAACTGGAATTTAAACTGGAGTTTGCCTCAAAATAAAGTGTGTCTGTCATATGGCCCATGCTCCGGGCTCTATATTTGACTCCAATGGTATGGAGTAGGTCCCTTTACATTGGGCTTCATTCAGCCCCAGAAAAGGAGAGAACCCTCTCCATGTGCACCTAAGGAGGGTGGGCGCTGGCCAAGAGCCTGGCCTTGTACAGCTCGCTGGAGCTGTGGGTGTGCCTGCCTGCAGCCTGTTCTTCCAATGGGGGGTTTGTGTTCCAGGCTCTGAAAAACGGATTGCTAAAATGTTCTCGCTGTGCTCTAGGAAGACCGCGCAAGGCCTGTCGGTCTGCTGCCTGCACTTCTAATGGAGGCCCACTGCCTTTGCCCTTCTGTCTGAGCTCGCAGGCCTGGAGGGCTGTCTAATGTAATTTCCTGCAGCATATTACTTGCTTTCAAAAAGTCATGCTGTCGTTGAGTGATTTATAGCAAATGAAGAGTCTTTTTTAAAATAATGGTCAACATTTTCAAGATTTCTCTTTGAATTAGTGTGCAGACTTATTATTCCAACAATCCAATGGAATCAGCCTTATGAAGACTCCCCAGAGACTTCTTCATGTCTCTTCTGAAAAATATGTGTAATATTCAGATCTGGCTCGAAACTTCATGACAGACTTCACAGCTTCCTTGCCCTCCTTGCTGTGTCCTTAGCTACTTTCAAAACAAGGCTGTGGTGACAAAACACCGAGTTGTGAGCAGGAAGCAGGGCATTAAAAGGGCTTCTAAGGGCTGCCCGAGGCAGACCAAATGGGGACGTGAGAGTCTTGCATTCAGTGCCTTTATAATTCGCCCTCTGCCCTCATATCTGCTTAGTCATGGCTAATGGAGACACCACAGGGCTTAAATTAGTGCTTCTGTCAAAGCAAGCAGACATTTGCTAAGCGTCTGTTGTCTGCCAGGCAGTTCTCAGAGGCACTTGTGGTGTACTGAGCAAGGGCCCCTTGCTTCAGCACCTGGCTCCGAGACTCCTTTCTCCTGCTGACAAGCAGAGTGTGCTTAGCCCAGTCATTCCATGCTAGAGCCATACTATTTTGATCAATGGAGCAGAAACTGCAGCTACTTGTACTAACTCTTTATTCTGCACAGAAAACAGCTCCAGGGCATGTTACATGATAAAAGACAGAGCAGGGAATGTACAGGTCATGCTTACAGTCATGCCTATGTATGTTTTCAGAATATGCCCACAGGCAGTAGGTTAACATACCTGCACCTATGCATATGCATGCATGAGTAGGGAATCCTTGGAGGACCTGTAAGAAATTATTGGACTCTCAGCAATAGGGCTCTTTATATTTGTTCATCTTGGTAATATTGGGATTTTTGTCTTTCTAAATTTATGTTCCATTTTAAAACACAAAATCGGAGTGTCTGCCCTTTCTGGTGCTAGTTAAAGGTCAGATGTGATCCAGTGTAATTGAACTAGCTGGGTGATTCATGAGCAAGGCTTTCTTTTTTGCTCCACAGGCCTGGGAAGTTGGATATGCTCTCTGTTGTGTGAAAGCTCTGCTGGTCTTTCTACAACTGCAGTGGCTTCTCTGTTTGATGTTAATACAATAGGAAGGATGAAAGACAGAAATATATGGATTACCCTGAATGCCAGGTGTACCCAGGCATTCCAGTGGGATAAATTTTCTGATTATGAAATGAGCAAGTCTTTGATTTCAACCCTTGTCAAAACTCTCTCAGGTTCAAATCAGAAGAGATCTGGAAACTTTATAATCAAGGAACCACTTTAGAGCTGAGGAAGTAAGGCCTTGAAGAGTTGCGGTTGCTACAGAGGGTCTATCTAGAGGACTTGGGGTCTGAAAGCCTTTCTTCATGGTGCCAGGGATGAGTGGCTGAGCATACAGCTCACTCTCTTTCCTGGAAAGATTATCTACGATGGCCTCAGGGTTCGGCAAACACAGACCTGAGCCTTGCATGCAGGTCTCCTGTTGGCAGCATCTTACATCCCACGTGACCCATCTTGAAGATGTGGTGGCTGGCGTGAGTGTCATCAATGTCTGCCTCACAACCCCACTGGAGGAAGTGCAGGTGCTTGTTCTCTTCCCTTAGACCTGCTCACCCCCCTAGGTGCTACCTAGAACAGAGACCAGGTGAAGCACGAGGCTTCCCAGTGGAGTTTCCAACAGGACAGGGAAAGAACCCAGGAAGTGGTGAGCCATTACTTCCCCACCTCATGACTGTGTGGAGAGTAGATAAATCGGCAGATCCTAGTGCCACCAAACTGTCCAGCATACTCTGCCTTACCCCTCATTTTTCCATTGTCCAAGCCCTCTCCCCTCTCTCTATTCTCAGGATAAGCCTCCCCTGCAATTGCCCAGGATATCCTTCTTCTGAGCTTGGCAAGAAAATTCAAAATGTATATTGTTTTATTCTCCTTATACAAATAAATCCATTGCAGACCTTTGTGTTTTTTCTTAGATGACCAAACCATGTTGTAATTCTGTCAGATTAATTTTTCTTGCAGCAACCAATGAAACAGCATGCAGGGAGCACTCTCGTTCTCCATGTATGCATCTAGGGCTCCTAAGAGGTGCTTCTCCAACATGCTTTACTCAACTTCAGGCTGCTCACTGCTGTGCAAAGTAAGGTTTGTCTTTTTCAGCACTATCTCCCCCTCCCCCACATGCTCTAAGAACAATCATAAGTCCCTAATCTACCAATGAGAAGCAGCCCACATCCCTTGTCACCACTTCTTAGCATGTTCCTGGAAGTTGTTGGAAAAGGACCTTGTACATGGGGGTGACACAGTCACAGACCTCCATGGCCAGGGGACCATCTACACCATCAACACCCTCATCTTTTGTTAGAATTACTATTGTCAGTACTGTTATTGTTACTATCTTAATTTGAACTTGATTTAAAAAAAAAAAGACTTGGAAGATTTCAGTCTTTTCCTACATGGAGAGGGACATAAAGAAGAGCTCTAACTCAGACCTTTCTTTTTATGGAATCTTCAACTCTTGTCAGCTTTTCTAAGAGCACTCTTGCTTGCCAGGGCCTCCACACATCTTGGGGCTATTGACACGGGCCCGTGGACTGCAGGATCCGTGGACAGCCTGTGCTAGGCATCATGGTCCTCAGCTTCATTTCTGTCTCGTCCCTTCAGGGAAGCTTCTACGTCCCCTCAGAGAACTGCATGCAGCACGCACACAAGTGGCACCGTGACCTGTGCCTCCTGCTCCTCCAAGCCTACCGGGGACTCCGCCTCTACTTCCTGATCATCATGAGGGACGTCCCGGAGCTGCCCCACATGGACCTGGGTAAGGAGCAAGGCAGAGAGGCAGCTCCCAGGAGTTGACCCTCCCATGGTAGAGTGGGAAACAGGGACTACTGGCATGCTTGGCAAGCACCGTCATGCACACGTTGCTGTTCACGCAGATAGATCACTATCTCATTCTAGTGGGAGAAAATATTGGAAGTTCAAATATAGTCAAGAAATGTAAAGTGCTCAAGGCGCGTTCATCCACACATCCATTCAGCCACTGAATGTTCACTGACTGCTACAGGAAAGTCCTAAGGTTACCTTCTCTTCTTAGGCTATCAGCACAGGATTGCAATTTACATGAGCATAAGGTAACCCTACTAAAAGGATAACACCTACAATGAAAAACTGTATGCATGCTTACATTGTAAGATGTGATTGGGAAATATGCTAAAAGTTTAATTTTTAAAAACTACTTACAGGCCATGGAGATAGCTCAGTGGTCTAAGCGCCTGCCTGGCAAGTGCAAGGGCCCAGGTTTGAGCCCCAATATCACATGCTGTGCTGGCCCCACCCTGGGATCACTGAGCGGCCACCAAGACCAGACACATACCTATAATCCCAGTGCTGGGGAGGCTCCAAAACAGGATCACTGCAAGTCCAAGCTGTGTGACAAGAACCTCTACCAAATACATTAAAAAATAACAACAAATAAAAACCACTTACAATAAAAGACACAACACCACTGATCTCCATCAAAACAGTCTCTCCCTTACCTTGGACATACTGATCCCATCATTCTTGTGATGTTCTAAAGGAGTTCTGGAAGTCTTTCATGGGTGTCTTTAGTTGATCAGGCATGGCTTCCTTGATGTGCTAAATCCATTAAAAACATTTGCCATCCATGGTCATTTTAGCTTTGGGGAGGAGCTAGGTGTTCCACAGTGCCAGATCTGGTGGAGTACAGCACTGTGCTTGTAAGCCTGCCTCTCTTTTGGAAGCCGCTCAGCAGCGGCACCCTCTATAATTTCAATCACTCCTCATACCCATATGTAAAATATGAAAGACTATAGAAACTTCTTATTATCCATTATATTTAGCTATCTGGGGACAAACTGATTCCTGACATGGATTTCTCAAAGGTCAGATAGAACAGAGATGATTAGCCTCTATCCCTCCTTTCTTTTGTGCATGTGTGTGTGTGTGTGTGCGTGTGTGTGTATGTGTATGTGTGCAAGGTCTCACTATGTAGCTCAGATTCATAGTGATCCTTCTGTTTTCAGCCTGCCTCAGGCTGGGATTACAGGTGCACACCACCATGCCCAGACTAGTAGCTGGCTTAGTGCCCCTGGGGGCAGGGCCTGCATGGCACGTGGTGCCAGGAATCAAATCCTGGCCCCTGCACTTGCCTAAGCAGGCACTTCGTCCTCTGAGCTATCTTGCCGGCCCACCTGTATCCCTCTTGACTGACAGATGATCGCTATGAGGCATAGAAATGTAGACTGACTGCTCAAGGTCACACAGAAATATGTGGCAGAAACATGACAGGGATTCAGAGATGGTCCGCAGAATCCCTGGGGCTGGCCCTCTGTCTTACAACCTTCAGTCTCAACAGGTGATGCACTGTATTTCTGCTTAAAGTTTTCTAGACCAGAGCCTGTGTGAGTTCAGAGGTGATAATGCCTATTTCAATGTCAGAATGCTTCTAGATCCCACGAGATCCCTATTCACCCCCCACACATCAGCTGCTGAGGAAGGAGACCATGACTTCGGCAGTATTCTCCACCTGCCCATCCTTCCCATGCACAAATATAATAATGACGGCTTTGCATGATCTACTTCCCCATCAGGCTTGGCTTCTGAGAGCAAGGTCACCTCAGCCCCTCTGTACACTTTTCCTGGCACATGAAGCAAAGGAGTAGGTGCCATGCTGCAGTGTTGGCAGTAAATTCTGGAGCCTCTGGGCATCTAGCTGCATCAGCTGTGAACCCCTGAAGCAATCCTGGTTGCAGTGCTCCTCTCTGAGGGAGGCAATCACTGGCCTGTTTTAGCTATTAATATTCTGTGTGCTGTAGATATAGACACAAAATCAGAGTGGATTACTAGCTTGGAGAGAACTGGATGTCGTCCCATCAGTTCGCTTCCTGATACAATACTTTTCTTTGCCACCGAGAATCAAGTTTCTTCATTCATTCATCATGTTGTGACCATTTTTACTGAGCACTTAGCATTGTGTTAGACCCTGAGGATATGAACCACATGACTTTCTAGTATGCCTCACCTCCAGGGTTCGCAGAGCAGAGGTCAGCGGTTGGGTGAAGTGTGTGCTCAGGGTCTGCTGCACAGTGCCCTTGTGC